TGGTAAAATATCAATCATAAAATAAAGGACTCCCAACATTAGGGTTTCATTTCATTATAAATAATAATAATAATAATAATAATAATAATAATAATAAAATCTTTATGTAGTAAAATATTTTATTTTTATAAAATAATTTTAAATTAAATTTAAGAAACTTTTTATATATTTTTATTATAATAAAAAATGACTTAAATTACATCGGTACAACACAACACTTTTAGACTAAGTCCAAAGACTCTAAACCCGATTGTCATTACTGGATGATTAGATTGTACCAGTCATGGAAAAGGAAAAATAATCTTATCTAAAGGCTTGCGGGCTTCCGTTCCCATCGGATAAGCCCAATAAAGCGTTAGAGGACAGGCCTTGAAAAGAACAGAATGTTTTAATATTAGGTGATATCACCGTTAATCACAGTTTATTCTTTTTTTTTTTTTTTTGGTAAATTAATCACAGTTTATTCACAATGCCCAAAACAAGCCAAGGGAGCTGGGACATGGTAGTACTGGATGTTTCCTATAGTATTACGTGATAGTAATTATAATTCGCTTCTTCACTCATTAAGTATGTATTGATACGAATTTAATAATTTTAATGTTAATCGTGTGTCATATTTTGTAATTTCTTATAATATATTTGATAACAAATTATAGAAAAAAAGAACAATTTCTCTCTTTTTATCAAAATTTTCTTCATTTGATTTAAAATTTGGATTTAAAATCTTCAAATTAAAATTTTATACTTTTATCTAGTTGAATCATTTACTAAATCATAACTCTTTTTTTTGTCTTTTTGTTTTATCATCATACTGTAAAATTTCATTTTCATATATACCAAAATTGCACTTTGATTCCGTATACATAATTATGAATATATTTCCTTTGAAAAAAAAAATTTTATCAACATCTATAATTAAGGAATTGTATAATTTTATGATACAACATATAGAAATAGAATAGTTTTCTTCCTAAACAGGTCTACAATAGGCCAAAGCCGAAGGTATTCTAAATATCTAATCTTCCAAAGAAGACAGAATTGTTTCGCAGCTGTGACCCGCCTTCTATTTTTGACCCAAAGAACTGAATACATTATACATTCAAAACTGATGCCAAAACTGGAAAATCTAGGCATCTACCTTGTCTTTTTGTAGAAGAAATTCAATATAATTATGAATTGATCAAAGGCATACCTCAATCTCCAAATTGTTCAAAATTGTCGATACTTGAGAAATCGAAGGTCTATCCTTTCTATTATTACCAACACAAGCTGAGGCAACTTTGGCCAATCTAACAAGAGGCTTAATGTCACCAGGAATTACCAGTCTAGGGTCCAAAACTTCATTAAACCTCATTTCCTTGATCAAAGGCAATGCCCATTTCATAAGCCACCCTCCTCCACTTCTCCTCCCACTCAATAGCTCCAACAAAACCACCCCAAATCCATATACATCACTTTCCTTACTAGCACCGCCGCCACCGCCGCCGCTACCAACACCGCTTCCAACCCAATATTCGTCATCGACATACCCCACTAGCCCTCCCTTCTCTTGGGGTAACAAAAAAGATAACCCATAATCACATAACTTTGCACAAAATTTGACATCTAATAAAATATTTGAAGCCTTAACACACCCATGTACAATATTTGGTGCCACAGCTTCATGTAAATAATGAAGTCCTCTGGCCACCCCTGCCGCCACCCTGAACCGCCGGTTCCAGTCCAACAGCGATACCACGTCGGAGCTTTCGTGTAAATAGAGATCCAAACTCACCATCCCGTCAAACTCCATCACTATAAATCTCTCCCCCGGAGCTTGAGCAAACCCTAGGATGGGCACCACATGCGGGTGTTGGACCAACGACAGCGTTTTGATCACCGAAGAAAACCCGAATCCAGCATTGCTCAAAACAAGCCGCGGATGAATCCTTTTCACCGCTGCCAGCTCTCCCTTCAGAACCGCTGCGTAGACTGTTCCCAAGCGGCCTTTTCCGATGATCCTCTGGTGGTTAAAGCCGTCCGTGGCTGCATCTATATCGGTTAATTGGTACGCCGGCGCACAGAATTTGGCAGGAAGCGTTTCTTGGGATTGAACTGGTTTCTTTCTGCAAAGGATGATTAGAATAATAAGAAGAATGACGATGGATACTGAAATTACTGACATAACAAAAATAAAAGCAACATCTTCAATATTTTTCATGTTTGTGAATTGTGATTCTTAGGTTGGAGGTTGAGGTGATGAAGAAGTTGAATGGTCCACGAAAGAACGCGTTGAAAAGATATATTTCAGTTGCGCGGGCAAAGGGGCCGAATTGACACAAATATCCTTAATTAATTAAGAGGCAGATAGATTTAGTAAGGGTATTCTTATTATTGTAACTTGAACTAACAATTTTCAGAGAAAAATGCTACATACACCACGTTACACACTTTGTTATATACACTCACTCTTCATTATTTTCTGTTAACTTATAAACGCATCTAACCCAACTAGCCAAATAGTGAAGTAGAGCACTTTGAGACAAAGGCTATACAGTTACTATAGACAAAACCTACAATTGTCCCCAATGAAAGTTGCAATTTCATCCTTTTATTTTCTTTCTCTCTCTATCCCTCCATCAACACTGGATCTGGACATTTTCCCTTCCAATTTCTCTTTTTTATTGGGTTGTTGTTGGGTCAATTAGGGATGGCAATTTGCCCCGATCCCCGTGAGGTCCCGTCCCCACCATTTGCGGGGACGGGGACGGGGACGGGGACAGGGACGAACTCCCCGGCCCCGCGGGGCCCCGTTGACATCCCTAGGGTCAATTGAAGGAACCTAGGCTCTTGGGTTCCTAAATCCTTATCTTCAAATTCTAAATCCTTTCATATTCTCTCCCTTTCCCCAACACCAAATTTGGGTTCCTTTGCAGGTTCCCACTTGCTCAGTTTCATGCTCTGTGCCAGTGAAACGGACAATGATGAAGAAGAGGAAGATGAGGCTACAAATGATTAAGACGAGGATGGAAGTGAGGAGGAAGATGGATCTAGTAAGGATGGTGAACAACAAGAAGGAGAAAGGAAAGGAGAGAGAGAAAGAAAGGGTTGTGCTAGGTGCGTTTGGAGTTAACAAAAAGTAATGGATCAAGAGTGAGTGTGTGTAATGGACAATAATGTATGTATCATTGTCCTTTCAAAAAATGACTTAGCACAGGTTATGTTTGGTATTGTTGTGCCTCTCCTTATTCAAATTTCTAATTATGATAAGAGAAAAGTGTATTGGTTTTGATTCTTAAAAATAAATAAAATTTTAATTTTAAATTGTGTTATTTATCTAATTAAAAATTTTAAAAATTAGTCGATATTTAAATTTAGAAACTAATTATATCAAAATATATAATAAGTTTCTAAATCTAAATATCAATATTTAATAGGATGAAGTTTCAATTTTTAAATATAAGTTGAAATTCTAATTGTTTTTAAAAATCGAAATTGATACACGCTAACCTCTAAAAATTATATTATTATTTAATAATTATTTTAAATTAAAAGTGTTATATATTAATATAATTATTAAATTATATAAAAACACTAATTAAAATAAATTAAATCAAAATAAATAAAAATTTAAATAATAATTGATACACTTTCTATTTTAACATATTTACACTAAATTTATTAAGAAATTATTATTTTTAAATTTAAATTTAAAATAAAAAAATTTCAAATAGAAAATTTAATGATAAACTAGTGAATGTTAGTAGATATGTTGAATAAAAAAGTATATTAATTTTTTTTTTTTCATTTTTAATGGGGTGGTGTATAGGAAAATGCCTATGAGATCGCAACTCCAAACATATATATCACTTTCGTATTGGAGAGTGAAAGAAAGAAACAAAATAAAAAGAGTTAGAAAGTGTTAAATTGAAAGGTGGGAGAAAAAGAAAGGGTATCTGTAGGCCGAGTAAGCGGTGCAAGGCATTTGAAAAATGGGTTGTAGTTGGTAAGAAAGTTGGTGTTCTATACCTCTTAAGACGTTAAGATGTTGCTTGGCGTCTAGTCGCTCCTCATTAGCTTGTCCATTTTCGAAACGAAAATTGCTAGTGTCACAAACTAGCTAGCTGCTAAGAACAAAATAGAAGGTTAAACTTTTAATTTGATCCTTGAATTATTGTATGGATATCAATTTGGTTCCTAAACTTAAAAAATTCATAATTTGATCCTCAAACTATTGTACGGACCCTCACTTTAGTTTTACTGTTTATCAATTTATCTTAAGTTGGTTTTTTTGTACAAAAAAAAGAGGTGACGTGTTCATTACTTAACGACAAAAAACAATAATTTAACGATCACATGTTACATTAATAACAAAACAAGTTAGTTGGTTTTTGTACGGAAAAATTAATTTGAGATAAATTAGTAAACAATAAAGATCATATCAAAGGGTCCATACAATAATTTAAAAACCAAATTAGAGATTTAATCAAAATAAAATAGAAATGCCGGTGAAGTGGAATGTGGATGAAGTCTTGGTATGGTTGTTAGTTGTGTGTACGTCCCGCCGTGTACAGGGACAGAAACGTACCTTCCAATGATTTGGGTTAGGTGGTTAATAGATTGATTTCCGTTATGACAAATTAAAGTAGCTTGCCTGTGCATTTGCATGGCACCATTTAATTTGTAAATAATAATAAATAAAATTAAAATTTAAAATTAATAAAGTGATATAAATTATATTATTTAAAATATTAAAAAATAAAATTTATATTATTTAATAATTAATTATTTTTATTT